TAGGGAAAACTATGGTCCTCAGAGCAAGGGATATGTCCATATCGCCATTAAATGATATGCCTCCAAATCCTCCACTATATGGCCCACGTCTTGCGACTTCCAGCTCATCAATCAACTCCATGGCTTTCACCTGTATTACAACAACCATAATATACGACGATATAACTTGAAAAGCAAGACTACAATAGTATAATGGTGACAATCGACAAAGGGTATCTTGCAGCCTTGAAGGGTGCTAAAATTTACCTTTGGTGCTCCGCTAACTGTACCAACAGGTAATGCAGCACGCAGTGCATCCCAGCTTGTTAAGTGATCTGATAACTCCCCAGTGACCTGCAAAGACATGTACAGTTTCTCATTATCTCATTAATTAATAAGAGTTGATCTTCAAGGAGACTTCAGATCTATAATTCTCATAATAATCAATAGTTTTTACTTATAAACTAGAGGGTTTTAGGTATATAGAAGAAGAAGGAGATAATAGAGACTGAGTACTATAAAATTTATATTGATTTATTGTGATGTCTTCCAACGTGTTAAAGAAAAACATAAAGCATTGACCCTTATTTACACTAGCAACAGATCACTAACTCAATAAAGAAACAAATCATAATATAACAAGGAAATATGGAAACCTAGGAACAACAGAAACTAATCCCAAGAGACAATCAAAGATATTCTAAACATAATTATGAGATATTATTCATATAGAGCATGTTTTGATACAAGCCTAGAAGAGTTTTTCATAACTTCTCTACTAAAAAATACTCTTTATTTTCAGTAACGAAGTTCTTAGAAGTCTAGACTGTATCTAAACAGATCATATTCTAAAATATATTTCCAAATTCTCATATTTTGCATTTAGTAACTTACTGTTGAGCTTATGTGCATAACATGGGAATAGCGCTCAATATTCATAAGCTTTTCAACACGAACTGAACCGGGTTTGGAGACCTGCATATTCATCTTGTATTAAGCACAAGGCTAAAACATAAAAGAAATGGTTTAAAGCAGCATGCACAAGGTAGAAAAGAAGTGTAAAATCATTATGATCATAAACTAAGCAACTGCAAAGCAATGTGCGATGCATATAAATATAGCAACATAGCATATAGAATACAGTCAGTGTCATGAAATTTTGACTCCTTGAATGAGGTGCATGAGATTCAAATTTTGGTTTGCAAACATCAAACAAAGAACCTATCAATAGAGCCCCGGGTTTAGGTTGAGTAGAAAAGAGGGCAGTAGTGGAATAGGATCCAAATCTGTTGGTGACAGAATAACTATTTGATTCAGTAATAAAATGGGATCCAGGGAGTTCGTTAGAATTAGTTGAGTTTTGCAAAAAAATTGGTAGAGAACTGGGTCTCTTTGGTACTTGGGTGAATGAGAGGAGATTACTCTCTGCTCTGAATCACATTAATATACCAGTGATGAGATTGTTTTTTGCAATAAATACTAATCATTTTTTCTCATATTCTAGTCCAGTTCTATCAGAACCATTCTTCAAAAGCCTATTGAATTCCTTTAATCTACACAAGCATGACCTGGGGTTAAAGATAAATATTTTGCAAATCATGCATATTTATATTAGAGACATTTCATGAAAATTAAAAAGAAAGTTATCATCGTAGAAAAGGGTATATCAAGTGATATGAGTGGTGTATTTTGAGTGAGGAGAAACTCTTAATCATTTAATCTTGCAACCAATATTAGAACCAAAAGACGTGACTTTTTATAATCATCTTGTGACCTTTGAATAAACTTCTTATCTTTGACCATCCATGTAAGATCCCAACTGCCAGGAAGTGCTCCTATAGCCTTTTCACCTGAAATGTCCCCAAGGTGTACGTGTGTGGATACTCTTTTACTTTTTTTGTGCTGTTTCTCAGCAGCAATGAATGCTTTAAGAGTCTAGCAAGTGACATGCTTCCTCTTTCTAGAAGTTATACCTAGTTTCTATTAGTGTGAAACCAATATATCTTTTATTTTCCCCTTACTTTATGATATTTTTGTTTACATATCTAGATAAAGGGTTAACTCGGAATTTAGTCCTCAAATTGCAAGTCTTTAATTAATCTCTATGAAACAGAAGATAGTAAGCCAGCAATTGAAAACCAAATACCTTTCCAACATCATTTCTCCCCAAATCAACTAGCATTACATGCTCTGCACATTGTTTTTCATCATTCAAAAGTTCTTTCTCCAACATGATATCTTCTTTTGATGTTTTTCCTCTTCTAACAGTACCAGCAAGGGGCCTATTGGTGATCTTTCTCTGTCAAAAAGGATATGAAATGCCTATTAATACTTGTTAGACTTGTAATGAAGTTCATAATGTTAACAAGTATAGTAAAATTAAAGAAACCTAAAAAGGGTTAATAAACAAGAACATCAACTATAAGCGTGTTAAGATTATTGATATTGTTGAAGAAGTAAATTAATTATTTTCGTAATTATTGCACAAGGTTACCTTCTTCACCCGTGTAAGAAGTTAACAAGTATAGTAAAATTAAAGAAACCTAAAAAGGGTTAATAAACAAGAACATCAACTATAAGCGTGTTAAGATTATTGATATTGTTGAAGAAGTAAATTAATTATTTTCGTAATTATTGCACAAGGTTACCTTCTTCACCCGTGTAAGAATTTCTGGACTTGAAGCAACCAAAATACTCCCTCTGGCCTAATACCAATATATTTTCCAACAAGTTAACTATTGAATGCAAAATAACTAATAAAAAGATAATGGCACGAGAAACTGGCAAACCTGCAAATATGTCATATATGGACTAGGATTAACAATCCTCAATGCTCTGTAGACTTCAAATGGATCTGCAAAAGTTCTCCGTTCAAAACGCTGACTCAGTACAATTTGAAAAATGTCACCAGCCAGTATGTGCTCTTTAGCCCGCAACACTGCACTCTTATATTCCTCATTTGTCATGTTTGACATCTCCAGTTTTGGACCAAAGACATGAGTGTGTAACTTTATTGAACCCGCAGGCAGCCTTGGGCTGAAATTGACAATTATAATTGTACATACTGAAATTAAACTCAACGACCAAACAATGTGATCCTTAACCTTGATTAGAAATGTTAAGCGAAAAAGGAAAAATAATGGGAAAAAAAAAAACAGTTCACTCACGTAATTATATCATGCACCCTAGACACTAGAGTTTCCAGCCGCTTCATTCCATCATTGAGGGCCTCCTCGGGAGAAGAATATCGATCTAGCCGAACCCAATGAATCACGTAAGCTTTCTGGATTGAAGAAAGTCAAAGAAATCACATATGCTTTCGTGGTCCCATAATCACATACATTTACACAGCACCTGGCAAACATAACCTTACCTTTTCAACATGATCAAACACAATCACATTATCATAAAGGCCCAGATGAACATCAGGAAGGTTTCTGTCATCAACTGGAGCATTAGAAAATGGAAGTTTCTTCTTTTCAACATAGCGCATTGTATCATAAGAGAAATAGCCTACCCAACCTCCTGCAAAGAGAAAATGGCAATCAGTCAAAAACATACATTGTGAAGCGCATAACAAAACTGCTTATACACACAACAAACACAATTCCAATAAGGAAATGGCAAAATTAGGATTAGAAGTGGATTTGACATGCCACAAAACGCTTCGGGAAGCTCATCCATGAGTTGAGGCGTCCACTTCTCCATGATCCTACGAGGAATCACCATCGGATCCTCAGCAATTTCCTCACTCCTGCGCCCATCCGCGTGGTCCATAACAGTAACCACGTTCTCTTTCGCCACAATCTCCATACACGGTTGTGCTCCAACCACACTGTACCGTCCCTAATCAAAATCAACACAAACTCAGTACACACAATAACTCATTCACAAACAAATAAAAAAAAAATGGCGCTCACGATGCTAGAAAGCTGGCCTGGCTCCACCGATTCGAAGAGAAAGCTAGGAGCATCTCTCTCGTCCTCCTTAACCAAACAACGGTACGCAAGGACAGGAGTGAGGTGATCAGAAAATATGCATCGGTGGAGAGGAATCACGTTCCCGTTCTTGGAAGCTTCGAGAAACTTCTCCGCAACTGAATGGAATAACGGTGGATGAACTAGAGAGTGAAGAATGAATAAAGAGAAAGCGAAGTAGGAGAAGGAGAATGACCTAGAGAAGGAGATTGAGCAGAGCATTTGACGGTGACGGCGAGAGGACGGTGGCTCCAGCTGGATCTGGAGACGGAGGCGCTTCGGGAACCGTAACCAACACTCGGAAGAAGTAGGGCTGAATGAGCAACCGACACCATGGTAGCAGGCAATGAGTGAGGCAAAAGTCAATGTAAATTGAGAAGAAAAGGGAAGGAGTATCACAAACAAAGACAACGACAAGTAGCGGTGTGACAGACGACGGTGACTACTCCGCTGAACGTGCCGCTGCTGCCGGTTACAGTTACCATGAGTTGGGCCGGATTGGGCTGGGCTTTCCTAATCCGTAATCACACCTCCACTATCGTATAAACACATCCCCTTTTCAAAAAAATATATATAAAATATCTAAATTACTCTTAAAAAAAATAAAATTTTAAAATTTACACCTCCCCTCCCGCACCTCCTTTCACCTCCTTTCCCCGACCCCTGTACCCCCCGCACTCCTATATCCCGCACCTCCCTTCCCCGATCCCTGTACCCTGCACCTCCCTTTCCCGCAACAGCGCGTGATAAGTAGAGTCGCGTGATAAGGTAGCATAAAACAATAAACACATTTCTAAATTCAAACTCCATTTTAAGTCTTACCTTCTTCCAACTCTTCCATTCCACTCCTTCTCTACTTCTCTTATCTCTCTTTCGCTTTCCAATGCCTTAAACTCCCTTCATGGCCTTTCTCCGTCAACTCTTCGGCGCCAAAAAACACCACAATCCGCCAAACCCCCACACCACCGCTCCCAAGCCCAAAGAAACTTGGCCCTTCTCTAAACACACCGCAACCCACACCCCCACCACCTCTTCTGCTCCCTTCACCCACTCTTTCAAAGCCAACAAGCATGCCATCGCTGTCGCTGCCGCCACCGCAGCAGTCGTTGAGGCCGCTCTCGCTGTCGCACACGCTGCCGCCGAGGTCGTCAGGCTCACCACCGCCACCGCTGCTCCTGCTAGCCGCCTTGCCACGGCACCACAGGACCGACGCTTGGCGGAGGAAACTTGCACCGCCGTCAAGATCCAGTCCGTGAGTTGGAGTGTGGGGTGTGGGGTGCGAGATACAGGGGTTCATGGAAGGGTAGTAAATTTTGAAATTTCATTTTTTTTAGGATAATTTAGATATTTTATGTATATTTTTTTAAAAAAGGGGTGTGTTTATACGAGAGTGGAGGTGTGTTTATCATCTGCCTTATCTTTTTGCACTCTAAGTATTTTTAATTAATTTCAATTAAAAAGGGAAAGCCTCATTGACTTATTGTTATAGAACAAAATCAAACATTAAATTTCTTAAAGTGAAATTAATTTTATTCGGATACAAATTTTCTACTTTAGTAGTAATTGAATTAATTACGATTCGAGTTATTCGTCAAATATTATAAGTTATTAATATTTTAGTATCTATATTTTATAAGTTAAATATTTATTTTATATAATTAAAATTATAATAAATTATATGTAAATATTATATTTAAATATATAAATTATATTAATTTTTGTATAGATGAACATATTTAAACATATAAACTGTATTCTAAATTTAATATAAATAATTTACATTATGTTATAAAATTACTTTTAATTATTAATTATTTTTTAAAAATATTAAATTTAATTTATAAATAAATATGATAAATTAAAAATAAATTTGATAAAAAAAAGTTCTAAGAAGTTTTAAAAATATTATTGCTGAAAAAGAATTTTTAACAACATTCTTATACAAGATAATTTTTCATATTTAATATATAAAAATTAATCTTTAATAAGAAAAAACTAATTATTTTATAAATTAATAGTAATTTATATCATAATTTAGTTCTTTGCAAAACATTTTAACCAGATTGATTTGATTTTGTTACAATTGTCTTTCTATCCAAGTTAATCGATTTATTATGATATCAAAAGTTATTTTTAGGATTTAATTAAAATATTATTTAATAAGTGTTTTTTTATGCCATAATGTATGTGATAAAAAAAATAATAATATAATATAAATTTTATATTGTTGCATTTAACTCATATTGTAACGTAGCAAGTTATTTCATAAGAACCAAAAGTTTAATATGACTGATTTAGTAGCCTAGAACGGCCCATTTCCAATCTGGAACGGGCAGCTCCAAGCTATTAAATTGACTTGTAAATCGTGGTTGAGAACGGGCCGCTCCAGAGGGAGAATGGGCCGTTCTGGATGAGTTCCAGAACCGGCTGTTTTGATTTCAGAACGGACCGTTCTGCAAGTGATTTTTGTATGTGATGCGATGGTGCAAAACGGGTCGTTCTGGATTTGGAACAGGCTGTTATGGTTACTCTGGAACTTCTATATATAGGGGTTGCCACTTGAGGAGAAAGTGAAGTTTTTAGAGAGAATGACTCTGGGTCTGTGAGCTCTTTTCTCTCTCAAATTTCTCTGTATGATTCTTTTTCTCCTCTAGAGCACTAATGTCTTCTATTTTTTCTTGAAATTTAGACTAGAAAGCTTGCTTTGAGAGGATTGAAGTTCCAGGTTGCGCTTCGGAAGGGAATTCTACTTCTTCTCAGTTATTGGCTATTTTGAAGTCAATTTTCAGGTGAGGGAAGCTAGAATGTTTGTTGTTTAGATTACATGTGAGTTTAGAAACTCAATTGATGCATGAATTTTGAGAATCCATAGATGGGTTGAAGAAAATCTCATTTTTGGGGTTTGAGAAAAAGGAGGATTTTGATGATTTAGATGCATAGGTTGGATGCATGTAGATTTAAGTTTATTTTGAGTTGTATGGAGCCTATGCTTTGTGTTTTGTGTCTGCATGTGGTTGGATTTGTTGATTTAGATGAGAGTTTTGAAACTCTTTGACTAGGATTAGGCCGGGCGCAGGTTGAGCGCGCCAGGCGTGGAAGAGCTTAGGGCTCTCGGGTTGAATGTTGGGCTAGATGTGATTTGGTTGCGTCAGGTATGGAGACTCTTATGAGTCTCTATCTCAAGGACATCGAGCACGAGTTGAACGCGTCGGGTGTAGATGAGTTTTAGGACTCTCAGGTTGGGATTAGGTTGGGGGAGCTCCGGTTGCGCCGGGCGTGAATATATTTATGAATGAAATGATGCTAATGCATGTTAAGTTGAAGTTTTGGATCATGTATGTATGATATATGATATGCACAGTGATGATATATATGAATGTTTAAATATAATATGGCATGAGTATATGTTCATATGTGTATGATTATTGATCATAATGGTGAGTATATCATGTATGTTGTATGATACATTATTGCATGTGACGTCTTATGACATGTGTATGATTGTTGATCATGATGGTGGGTAGGCCATGTATGATGTATGATACATAATTGCATATGATGCCTTATGGCATGAGCGTAGCCTATGACTTGAAAAGAGAAAAAATATTTTCGAACTGGAAGAGCTTACATAGAGTCTCTTGAGAGTGGTGCTTGGATATGTCACTGATATATGAGAGAGGTGCTAAAGGAGACCACTGGATTTGGGAAAGTGGTGCTCAGATAGGCCACTGGGTTGGGTGAGTCTCCTATAAGTCCTTAACTAGTGTTTTAGAGGTGTAGGATTTCGAGGATTATTCCCTTAACTAAGTACTCGGGAAGGTTGCGTGGATCCTTACGGATAGTCGGTGGGCGAACTCCACAATTGTCTTGGTTATGCATGCCAAGGTTGGGTAAGCTCGTACCCAGCTGTGCTATACTTGACAGTAGATCTGGACTTCCAATTGTGTAAGTGACATCATCCGAGTAAACCCGAGTGAGGATTATATCCTGTTTAGCTATAACCGAGCGGGCGCATTGAGCGTGAAAACGGTTGGGGTGGTTTCAGTTGGATGGGATGTCACTTATACAGCTCTATTGTTAGGGAGATCTCCTAGGTGTATGCCTGACGATGCATTAGATGATTGATATGCATTGATATCTGTCATGAGATGCATTTATTGCATGTTTATTAGTATGATGAAGTGTGGTGTTTGACTTCGCGATTGGTGGATTGTATTTTATGCATGAGTAGTGTTGGATAGAGTGTATGGTGTGACTCTATGAACATGATTGATAGTTAGATGATGTGTAGTATAGATTTTACTCTGTACTTGTATAATTGGTTTTGAATTTTAGCTTACCCTTCTGTTTTCATGTGGTGGAACTGGGATGATCATACTTGATATGGGAGCAGGTCAGGACTAGCTTGGAGTTGAGGTGTCCGCTGTGAGATGGGGAGTTTTGATCCTCGTGTTAGAGTTATTATTTTGGATAACAGTTTTGTCTATGCTTGACCGGCACTAGGAGAATATCATTTTTGGGATGACGGTATATATATGGTATTTTATTTTATAATTAGTTCACTAGTAGTAGTGTGATTTCACTAAGTGTAGAGATCATGACGGGTCGTACACATACATTTTGTAAATAATTATATTCATACTAGATATCTTAACATAGACATTTTTATTATATAAAAAAATAGATATTGTAATAATATATGAAGAAGATACTCTATTTTATATTTGTTTATCTTTTGTATAAGAGTGTTCTATTAGTAAACTATTACGCACTCCTTTAAGGATAATTGTCTCTAGAAAAATCTCTTGATTGTCTTTGCACTCTTACCTCCTTTATTATTGAGTGATTATTTAAGTATTTTAGTCGGTGTTTCAAGCTATGTTTCCTATTAACAATGAAGCTTATTCCCAAACACTCAACATTTATTCATGTTGTTTTTAGGTAATATCTAGTTTCTAGAGTTTATTTTAATCTGGTACCACTTTCACGACCAACAATAAAATAGTATTTTACCTTTAGATGTTTTATTAACTATCATGTCTCAATGCACTTTGATTAATTTTTTAAAATCAATCAGTTAAAACATCCACTCAATTCCATATAAGTTTCATCCTAGTCATAGATAAATCACCTAGGTTGAGGTCCATAAACAATGACAATTATTCTATGAAGACCCACTTTCACTCCGATGGTTGAATACAATTACACCATGTTGTATTTTTTTTTTTACAAATTTATATTTAAGAATAAAATAAGAAAAATACATGTATAAAATATTTTTGACCTCTTTAAAAATTATAACTGCTCACTACTTTTTGTCAAAATATTAATTTATTTTATTTTTCATAGAGATGTATAGTGTTTTTTTTCTTATACTAATATATATAAAAGTGTTTAATTAAAATATAGTTTCAAAAATAAATTTAACTTTTTTATTATAATTGATTTTTTTTAATTTAATCGATTATAAAATACTAAAATCGATTTAAACTTTTAGTGTAAAATTTTATCAAGTTATAAAATGGAAGTTTAATTTATTAAATTTTAAGTGGAGGTATTTTATTATTTCTATTTAAAATGAAGAATCCCACAAATTTTCTATTTTTTACTTTTATTTTGTCTCAACCAAACATGCATATTTTATATTTCTTACACATATCTTACCCATTTTCAAGATACAGATGACGCGTTATGAAAGGCTTGGGAGGAAAAAAAAATTAGCTGCAAAACAGTAAAAAAAAGAAAAGTAAATTTTAATTATTTTAAAATGTCAAAATAAACGGATACGAAAAGTAAAATTAACAATGTAAATAGCACGGGTCTTATCTAGACAGGCTTGTTTGTTGGGCTTGAAATTAGAGCCCAAAATTCATTCTCGACAAGAACGACATCGTTTTATATCAGGGAGGTTCTATTAAGTTGAAGCATCAACCCGAAAGGAAAACACCTTTGTGACTGCGTCTTTTCTTCAAACACCGCCTTCACTTACGACGGTTCTGTCGCCGCCAGAACCACCGCATTCCGGTTTCCGACCTCACACCGTCATCCCCTGCTTCCGTTTTAATTCCATAAACTCATCTCGCCTCTAGCTCCTGATTAACACCCATTGCACCTGTAAGCACGAACTCGCAACACATTCATTTGCCGTTCTGCAAGATCTTCGTCTCACTCATTCTTCTCCACTAGTCATCTTCTGCGCATTCTGAGGTTAGTGGATCCGCTTCGCTAAACTCGGATTGAGTTCATGATTTCGTGCGTGTTCCTGTTTTTCGTGTTCTCTGCTTCTGGTTCTGTTTCGCGGCACGTTAAACGAGGAAAACTTGAAGATAATGAGGATTGTTGTTTGAAACTTTATTATCTTGATTTTTATAGTAGTTTCTTAGTGAGACATTTCCTCTTAGTTGGTATTTATATTTTTTCCATGTTTATGATTTTTTTTTTACTGTTTTAGAAATTGATGTTTGAGTAGAATTAGAATTTATTTTACTTTTTTATATCCTATTCTTATTCTTATGGCATATCTAATCTTAACATTTTTTTTTACAAAATATTTTATCTTAACATAACCACCCAATAAATTCTCTGAAATTTACGTTTTATAATTTTCTGAGTTTCGAAAAGCAATATACAAAACACAACCTTTTACAACAAATGTTTGTGCATTACTGCATTTAAGTTTTACTGTGACTGAAGTGAGGGAACCAACTGTATTCTACGTTGGTGTATTCTACGTTGGCAGGTTTGGGATATTTTGAGCAACACACGGGTTTGAGTTTTTTCTGAAAAAAAAAAGCCCAACTAAAGGCAGCCCAAAAGAGTTCCGATCCCAATTTCAAACGCTGAACAACACTAGTGCCACGCGACAGTAATAGTTCTTTGAGCTTAATTTTGCTTTGAAATTATTCAAACCACTGAATGAATTAGTGAATATTTTGTAGATTAACATAATCGTTGCTTAACAATCAGTAATTCATTCAGTTGTATGTTGCTGAAAATTTAACAATAAAACTTGGAAATTGTGATAATTGTAGGGAATGGGAGTGATAAAGGATGGAACAATCTCAGGGGTTATACCGGACCCTCAAGGGTTTTTGGTGCACTATCCTGCTTATCCATCATCCATCTCTCGAGCTGTTGACACTCTTGGGGGAATTCAAGGTATTCTTAAGGTATAGGCAAGCTAAATTTTATCATATTATTGAATTAGTTAATGTCATTGCCAATTATTATACTATATGTATGAGTATGTACCAATGAACATGGTGTATGAGCTGTTGTGAATTTCCTGATACTGAGTTTGATATATCTATGGATACAAAAAATTGTATAAGTATGTATAAATTTTCTTTCTTCACACGGATTGCAATTTATGTTAATTTTTTCTTGTGGAGTGACATTTGTAGGCTCGTAATTCACAACCAAACAAGTTAGAGCTTCGATTTCGCCCTGAAGACCCATATTCGCATCCTGCATTTGGGGAGCTTCGTCCCACCAACAATTTGCTTCTCAAAATATCCAAGAGAAAACCACCAAATGCTCATGATGCTGAAGCTTGTAGCAGCTCTGGAGTGAAAAATAGGGAGCAAGAAAATCAACCAGAAAGTGTACGTGGCCAAGAGGGAAGTCTTTGTGCTGATATTGTTGCTCGTGTTCCTGAGGCTTATTTTTTTGATGGTTAGACACTCGAAATAGGTTTGGTTTTGGTGTTTTTGTATAGAGATTAGTTAGCTTTATGCAACTTCCTAAGCAAGTTATTTGGTTGCTTTTGTTTTGTATATCAAAATTGTGAAGGAATGGCGGACTACCAACATGTGATTCCTGTTCATGCTGATGTTGCTCGGAGGAAGAAGCGAAACTGGTCAGAGCTCGAAGAACCACATTTTGGTGAATATTTCGTTTCAGTGTTTATGTTCTTCGGTTTAATGTTTGAAGTGTGTTTAATGGCTATTTTACAAAGTTTGTGGCTTGCTTCATGTTTTGTTGTAGATAAGGGTGGTTTCATTGATCTGGATCATGAGGATGTTATGATTATAGTGCCTCCAATTTTTGCTCCAAAAGATATGCCAGAAAATTTAGTGTAAGTTTCTAACTTTTCTTGGTTAATGATCATTTACTTATTTTTAAGAAAAAAAATCAGGGATCAGCATACAATGAGTTGGACATACGAAGTAAATGATGGCAGGGTCCTATGACTTGGACAGTTTCAATCTTCATGACGAGGAAAAATCTGGGGGTCCGCTTGAGAGGATATTAATTGTGTTATCTATTATTCTTTTTCCATTAGCTTTTCTAGTTTTCTTGGTTTTGTTAGTTTGAAATTATTATATAGCTTGTCTTGTGTTCATTTATAGTGCATTGCCTCCGTGATACCCTTCAATGAGGCTTTATTTCTTGTCCATTTATATATATGTATGCGTGTTCTGTGCATTTGTTTCTGTAGTTTGGGGTATTTGGATAGTGGGATACACAAGGTTCTTAAAATTGAAGTATTAAATGTTTTCATTCCTTATTGTATTTTTCTCTCCACTGATGGAGTAGGAGGTGGCAATGAAGTTCTGTTGTAACTTTTGTTAGTTATCCTTGTAAAGTTTTGACTGGCAATTCCATTTTGTGTTAACTTTATATTGAAGTGATTTAATCATTTTTGTATTTCAGCTTGAGACCATCTACCATGCCGAGTTCAAAAAAGAAACCAGAGGAAATTGTACAACACCCTTTTGAGGTACCAAGGGACGAGGAAGTGCTTCTAGGTCTTTAATGGCAGCAACGTTCGAGGCCGTCAATTGCAGATTGGCTGACCCATTAAACCTGGCCGGAGCCTGCCGCCAGTAAAGAGGGAACTTCGGTAACCCGCCGAAGTGGAATACCTCATCTTTCAGCGGGTCGACCTCCACGAGCAGAACTCAAAAAAACTCTTGTTTGAAGATCGGAACTTCTTTCAAGTCTTTTTATTGATTAGTCTTACCAATTTGTGGATTGTACAATTTCCTATAGCTAGAGGTGAACAATATATCCTCCAAAACTAAATATATCATTGAACAAGAAAAAAAAAAGAGAAGTAAAAAATAGCAAAATTTAGGAGGAAAAGAGACCGCTTTAAACATGTGGGCATTACTCCAATCAAGCTCAGTAAAGGATTACATTACATACATCACCCATTGCTTCAAAATAATCCTTGTTTTCTTTTTTCTTGAACATGGACCAACAGAAACTGCTTCCAGGTAGGACCCATCATATGCTCTCCAGGAATCCTGAAAACATTGTTTTCAATTATCCAAGAAAAACACCTTAGGATCCAATTGCAAAGTATTGGATTCTAGTGTGGGTTTATAAGGACTTGAGCTCTCCAACTACAATGACTTGCTTTGGTGTTGTGATTTTCCCAAGGTTTTTATCAATTAGTATCAAAGTTTTCTGCTATGTCTCAGCTGCAAACGAGTGGTGATGTTGGCATTGTAGTGTTACCTAGGACAAGTCAAAGAGCTATTTCATAGCCAGCCTCTGTAGGTGCTAGGGCTGTGGAGTGTGTGGCGAAATGGTATGATCAAATTGCAGTGTATGTAACTTGAATCTCCCATGGGAAGTATGGAATTCTAGTGTGAGGTTTATAAGATTTTGGGGTCTCCAACTATAACGACCTACTTTTGTGATGTGGTCCTCCCAAGGTTTATATAAGTCAAAGAAGTATTAACTTACGAATATTCACATGCGATTTGTATATTGCCAGTCCTGTTAAGATCAACTATTCTTACAAAAGACTTGAGCTAGCAAATGGGTTAATGAAATAGAGACCTTTGATTTTTTGGACTAGCAAGAATGCATTAGAACCTAATAGAAGAATTTACGAGAAAATAAACTTGAAGAATCTGATCCCAAACCCTGCTATCTAAATTAGTGGAGGAATTAATATGATCTAGTAATGTCGAAATGACTTGTAATTGACTGGCTTATTTATCAATCTCCAAAGGGAGAACAGGCCGTTCTGGATGAGTTCCAGAACCGGCTGTTCTGATTTCAGAACGGACCGTTCTGCAAGTGATTTTTGTATGTGATGCGATGGTGCAAAACGGGTCGTTCATGGCATTGATAGTGGCATCTCAACAACTTGTTAAATGTAATCATTAGTTTGGTAGTTGTAATGATTATGCTAGGTAGTTAGAGTTAAGTTAAGCTAACCTAGGTTATTCTTAAGCAAGGATTAGGTTAGCTTGTTCCATGCGTTTCTAGACAATTAACTAGACTTCTAGGCATTTAACTAGAGTTGGTTATCTTAAGTATAAAATAGCTAACCTTTGTTACATTTAACGATTGTTAATCTAACTTGCACCATAAGCCAATCAATCTCTATATATAGTTTCTCCTTGTGTATGGCTGAACACTTTGAGTGTTTTATCGATTTGGCCGAGTTTTTCTCTCTCACAAAGCTTGTTTATCTCTTTGAAATTCTTTATTTTATCTTATCCTCTCTTGAGTATGGTGAGAAATTGAAGAGGCTTATCATTCTTCAAAAGTGTGGTGTCATCAAGGAGACTCTCTACATCATCTTGTGTGGTGAAAATGACTTCTATAATCCATGGAAGCCATTGAAGAAGCTTGAAAGACTCCAAGAAGTGAAGATCAAGGGAATGGCAATGGGTAAGGTCTGGGTAAGGTCTGGGTAGGGTCCAATAGTACTCGTCCCTATACCCATGTTTAAAAATAATACTCGTACCTAATTTCATACCTATGCTTGTTGGCTACCTGTGTGCCCATACTTGTACTTATGACCCCATATTTTACTTATGTGTTCTTAGAAAATTAAACTACCAACATTCTTTGAATAATACAGCACAACCTATTCATACATTCTCTAATTATATTCCATTAGCTTTTTTGAAGTTGGAACAAAAAACTTTCCCAAAATAAAATAAAATATTTTTTATTAGTAGATAAAATAAAACATATGTGAGAATAGTTGAGAACCTTTAAATTTAACAATTAACAACCCCATTGTGATGTTATATGAAGTTATGACTAATGAGTTTTCTAATAATTAACAGCCCCAACGTGGTGGTGATGTAGGGATGTGAGGTAGTGAGACATCTGAAGTTAGCAGAAAAACACATAGAAGGGGGGTTGAAATGTTTGTGTTAGTACGAAGGAATTTTAGCAACGTTTTCGCAAGAGTAATGCTCTTCATCTAATGCACTTTTGAATGTCAGACGGTTACACAAAATTTGGTTGACATAATTTCATTGCTTTTGAAGGATTCATCGTTTATTGAGAAAAATGTTTTATAATGATAATTATTGAAGTTCTAACATTTTCCTTTTCAAGATAGTTTCACTTGAAGACAAGTAAAGGATAAAGCTTTTCAGTCTAATATGTTTGTTAAACAAAATTTGTGTGTTCGTCTGAAAAACGGTTTTAATGAAGAATAGATAGTAGACGAAGATTAATGGTAATTTGACAATTGAAAATAATCTGCGTCTGAAATATAGATAGAGTAGTGTAATTATTTTTATACTAGTTCACTCAACTGAGCTACGTCCAGTCTCTTCAACTTGAAGGGTTCCACTAGATATGAGATAAAGTACACAAGTATTGTTAACCACTTCTGGCCCGTTGATTTCACTCATCAATGCTAGTATATTCTTCTCAACCTCTTCAGGCTAGCAGTGAGTATTATGAACCACCCAGGTTAGAACCACTCCTGGTCCAAGTATTCTCGACCACTCCTAGCCCAAGTATTCTCAACCACTCCTAGCCCACTAGCTTCACTCACCAGCTCTAGTATTCTTACACCACTTCTGGTTCAAGTATTCTCGACCACTTCTGGCTCGCCAGCTTCACTCACCAGTGCTAGTATTCTTAAACCACTTCTGGTTCTCCAAGTATTCTCGACCACTCCTGGCTTGTTGGCTTCACTCACCAACGCTGGTATTTTCTTATCAGCCACTTCTGGCTAGCAGTGCGTATTCTTTGACAAGCCCCTCCAGGCTTTACAAGCATTCTTTTCCTAGCCTCTTCAGGCTTTACAATGTTTGCTAGAGAGTTGTGGTTTGCGTGTATACATAACTCTCACAGAGAGGATTGGGAAATTTCCTACACTCACTAAGGTTTGCTACCTTATTTTGAGTGTGTAGGTTACTCTCATGGAGAGGATACATAAGTTTACAACACTCACTAAGGTTTAGTCCATCACTAACATTTCAAACACCTTAGTCTACATAGATAAAAATATAATATTACATTGTACATATGACTATGTATGCTCATCTTTGGTCTCTGTCTCGTGGGCTTGATATCACTCTTTTTCTTCCAATCAAAAGCCAACCTCTTAAGGTTTGAGATAGTGATATATATATATATAGATATATTTGTAGAATCTGCCCGTTGCAATTGTCCGTTGAAGCAAATATAGTCGTAAACGACCAGTTTGATCTTCTCATTTAATGCTCAGATTCGTGCATTAAATGTTGTTTCCCGTTCATAGACAATGCGTGAAGTTTCCTTACTCTGTTAGTAGCTGTGTCTGAATATAGCAGAGTCCTAGGAAAATTTTTGTCCTTTTCTAATCCTATAGTTGTGGAACTTTTGTCCTTGCCTGAAAAAGTGATGTATTTTTTCTGACATATGCATGATTTAGTGTTTGAGCATGTTCTTCTTCTTTCTTCTTCTCTTCTAATAATTCGAATGACTTCGTGTGTTCTTCTGTGAGTGTAGACGATATTCAAATTCTCCTTTGAGGCTTGATTTCTCAGATGATTGCGTGACATTCTTCGTCTGCGTCTGGTAGTCGATATTTAGTTTAATACTTTGACCTTTGTCTAATCATCAACATTTTGACTTTTCCTTTCGTCTTGGTCAACCTTGTATATGGTTAGACTTTCCATTTATTTTGGAGTTTCTTCTTGGTCGTTTGACCATCTTCCGTCTGAGTCTTTATGTGTTGCCTTAAATTGTGCTTGGCATGGTCTTGTTCCTGATTTGGCTTGTTGAGTGCTTATGTTGGCCTTCCATTTTGTAGCGTCTGATGCTTATGCCTCTTCGTCATTTTACCTGTTCTTATGTCTTTCTGAAACACTAACTCACTTGTTAGAGATAACAACATATATATATTATATTTGTCTCACTCAAAACCTTTGTGGGGATTTCTTCGTCTGACTTAACAATCTCCCCCTTTTTGATGATGACAAATATAATTAATCAAAATTGTTTCAGATAAGCCTTGGAAACTTGAAGTGCCTGATTTTAGTTATAACACATTGTTTATTAAGTTATTCCTTAAAACGTAACTCTCCCCCTGAGTGTATGTTCTCCCCCTTACTAGATTATCCCCCTTTTTGATTCATCAATACGTATAACAAATTTTGATATCAGATATTGTTATTTATTTCTCCCCTTTTGTAATCATCAAAAGGAAATTGAGAGCAAAATAAGTAGTAGGGTAAAAAAAATGTGTATTGAATACCAATAAGTGTGTAAAATAAGGATGATCAAAACAAAATACACATTGTATCCTTCTTCCTAACATGACTAAACTAGAACATGTTGTCCTATCTTCCTTAATATGATCAACTAGACGAAGGTGGATCTTTTGAAAGCTTGGAGGCAATTAGATTAAACAGATTGTCAAATCTGATGTTCAGTTCAGCTTTGAATTCATTGAAGGATTCAATGGAAACATATTGTTGTGCTGGTTCAGAGGCTGATGGGAGTGCCTCAGAGGAGCGGACACTGAGATTGGCTCAGCAGAGATAGGCTTAAACGTGTGGGATTCAGATTGTGCAGCTTCGAAGGGAGCATTCTAGGGCATAGGCATACTTGGTTTCCATGATGGAATATCCTTGCACCACTTATACACAACCTTATGCCATGTGTTTGTGATAGCCTTCCACTCATCTTTGTATAGATCGAGATTGAAAAGGGAGGAGTGGATGAAGTATCTCTTGCTAAGAGCATCAAGATCAGGCCCTCGTTGTCTGTTAAGAAAGGCAACAGATGTGCCACTGAAGTGTATTACTTTGCATGGGGTCATCTTGTAGACACCCAATTTCGTCGACATATACCTGAATAACGATTAAAATGAATTCTACATATTGTTTTTGTTTGAATGTCATTGTCAGCAGTCACGTGTGATATTTTTAACAAAAAAAAATTCTCCTGTGATGTTGTGTGCAGAAGGGCATGGAGCCAGTTCTTGCAATTGGCTTTGACATTAAAGATATCCTTTTCTCAATCAGTAGAACCATCATATTTCAAACTTGTTGAAGTTGAAAGTTCTATGTGGTTTTGACATGCATATTTTTATTGTTTTTGCTCCAGTGATTTTTGTTTTGCTGAAATTTACTCTCATTGTTCATGAGTGCGTAATTAAACATATAGAGTGAGTTGTTAATATATTTATAGCTTTGCCATTGATTAACTGATTTAATTTCAAAATTTTTTAAATTTCTCAAATATATATATTTTTCCTTCCGGTGTATAACAAAAATTGCTTCTTGAGTGATTTCACAAATTTATATGTTCTGAATAAGAAAATCAAGTTGTAATGACGTCATTTGTACATTCCAAGCAGATTTTCCTACAAAAGCTAAACACAAATCATTAGTTTTTAGAATGCAAGTTATTCTTGAGGATCAGTTAACCACCTCCCAGAAGTGGGAAAATTTGTAGCTTTTGCCAGTGATAAACCAGCATATAATAGGGCTTGTTATGTCGTAGTATCTTGTAAATAAATAATACTAGTATATAGTAAATAGTTGCATTCCTTCCTTAATTTTCATGCCAATAAAGAAGACATTTATTTCTCTGAAGTTGTGCTGTTAGGTAATGTTCTTTATGTCACTTCTTAAACAGGATAGAAAGAGATGGAATAAAACTGAAAGTTATCTTCTTTACTTCTAAGTTGTAATCCATTTTTTTTTACTGAAGTTGTTTACATTTAAACCATTACTTGATAATTTGAGTCAGTACTATCTTTTAGTATCAGTACCTCTTCATTGTATTTTTCCATTTAGACTTATTAACTTTTATTTTTCTATAAACGTTATCAGAGGGTTTTTTTTTTTGTGTTGATATTTCTTTAACCTTTTTTTTTTTTTATATATAGGGGTTGCCACTTGAGGAGAAAGTGAAGTTTTTAAAGAGAATGACTCTGGGTCTGTGAGCTCTTTTCTCTCTCAAATTTCTCTGTATGATTCTTTTTCTCCTCTAGAGCACTAATGTCTTCACCGCCGTCAAGATTCAGTCCCTGAGTTGGAGTGTGGGGTGCGGGGTGCGGGGTACAGGTAAGGGGTGTAAATTTTGAAATTTCATTTTTTTAGGGTAATTTAAATATTTTATGTATATTTTTTTAAAAAGGGATGTGTTTATATGAGAGTGAAGGTGTGTTTATCATATGCCTTATCTTTTTGCACTCCAGGTATTTTTAATTAATTTCAATTAAAAAGGGAAAGCCTCATTGACTTATTGTTATAGAACAAAATCAAACATTAAATTTCTTAAAGTGAAATTAATTTTATTCGGATACAAATTTTCTACTTTAGTAGTAATCGAATTAATTACGATTCGAGTTATTCGTCAAATATTATAAGTTATTAATATTTTAGTATCTATATTTTATAAGTTAAATATTTATTTTATATAATTAAAAATTATAATAAATTATATGTAAATATTATATTTAAATATATAAATTATACTAATTTTTTGTATATATTAACATATTTAAACATATAAAATGTATTCTAAATTTAATATAAATAATTTACATTATGTTATAAAATTGCTTTTAATTATTAATTATTTTTTAAAAATATTAAATTTAATTTATTAATAAATATGATAAATTAAAAATAAATTTGATAAAAAAAAGGTTATAAGAAGTTTTAAAAATATTATTGCTCAAAAAGAATTTTTAACAACATTCTTATACAAGATAATTTTTCATATTTAATATATAAAAATTAATCTTTAATAAGAACAAAACTAATTATTTTATAAATTAATAGTACTTTATATCATAATTTAGTTCTTTGCAAAACATTTTATCCAGATTGATTTGATTTTGTTACAATTGTCTTTCTATCCAAGTTAATCGATTTATTATGATATCAAAAGTTATTTTTAGGATTTAATTAAAATATTATTTAATAAGTGTTTTTTTTATGCCATAATGTATGTGATAAAAAAAATAATAATATAATATAAATTTTATATTGTTGCATTTAACTTATATTGTAACGTAGCAAGTTATTTTATAAGAACCAAAATTTTAATATGGTTGATTTAGTAGCCTAGAACGGGTCATTTCTAATCTGGAACGGGCCGCTCCAAGCTATTAAATTGACTTGTAAATCGTGGTTGGGAACGGGCCTCTCCAAAGGGAGAACAGGCCGTTCTGGATGAGTTCCAGAACCGGCTGTTCTGATTTCAGAACGGACCGTTCTGCAAGTGATTTTTGTATGTGATGCGATGGTGCAAAACGGGTCGTTTTGGATTTGGAACAGGCTGTTCTGGTTACTCTGGAACTTCTATATATAGGGGTTGCCACTTGAGGAGAAAGTGAAGTTTTTAAAGAGAATGACTCTGGGTCTGTGAGCTCTTTTCTCTCTCAAATTTCTCTGTATGATTCTTTTTCTCCTCTAGAGCACTAATGTCTTCTATTTTTTCTTGAAATTTAGACTAGAAAGCTTGCTTTGAGAGGATTGAAGTTCCAGGTTGCGCTTCGGAAGGGAATTCTACTTCTTCTCAGTTATTGGCTATTTTGAAGTCAATTTTCAGGTGAGGGAAGCTAGAATGTTTGTTGTTTAGATTACATGTGAGTTTAGAAACTCAATTGATGCATGAATTTTGAGAATCCATAGATGGGTTGAAGAAAATCTCATTTTTGGGGTTTGATTTTGTGATGATACTTGTGACAATGAAAAATAAACTCGAGTAAAATCACCCTAATTATGAAATAGAAATATGTCTATTAAATTTTTCAAAGTTATACGTATGACATATATTAACTTTCTCGCCACTAAGAGAATCCAAATCCTTGGAGGATGGATTCTGGCCAAGTAATGATAAGCCCCTGTGGCGGTATTTATTAATAAAAAATTTTATTTTATAAATTTTAATGAATATAAAGTTGCTATGAGTATGGTTTGCAATTTTGAATTTGTAAAAGATATATAATACCTTTGACTTCTCATCTTTTCATGGCGTGTTTACCTTTTCATTTCAGTAGATAATATGTGATTATTAGTGTTGTCTCTGGGGCATTTCTGACAATCATGTTGTATGGATATGAATAGATAAATATGACGATTATGACAAATTTTGAACATACTGGGATTTGTTATGAACTAGTATGCTTAATTAATTTATTGTTGCTTTCTAAAACTGATATTAACGAGACAGAATTGTTGCAATGCAACACATCTTCAGCCAACAAAATTTAAAACATTCCAATTTCAGAACCTCCCTTCCCCGCCCCTGCACTTCCCGCACTCCTTTACCCCGGACCTCCCTTCCCCAACCCCTATACCCCGCACTTCCCTTTTCCGCATCAGCGCGTGATAAGCAGGCGCGTGATAAGCTGAGTTACATGGCAAGGTAGCATAAAACAGTAAACACATTTCTAAATCTAAATTCCATTTTAAGTCTCACCTTCTTCCATCTCTTCCATTCCACTCCTTCTCTACTTCTCTTATCTCTCTGTCACTTTCCAATGCCTTAAACTCCCTTCATGGCCTTTCTCCGTCAAATCTTCGGTCCCAAAAAACACCGCAATCCGCCAAACCCCCACACCACCGCTCCCAAGCCCAAAAAATCTTGGCCCTTCTCTAAACACACCGCAACCCACAACCCCACCACCTCTTCTGCTCCCTTCACCCACTCTTTCAACGCCAACAAGCATGCCATTGCCGTCGCCGCCGCCACTGCAGCAGTCGCCGAAGCCAAAACACTCATTAGTACCTGCAAAGAGTGCCCAACAAGATTTTTTTAAAAAAAAAAACGACTCAGAACTCAGAAAAGTGTTTTCCGTTAACTGAATCTCCATCTTCGTGCGTTCTTTCTTCTCTCTCTTCGTTCTTCGCGATCGCTCGGTGCTGATCGCGCTCATGGTGATCGAGCACGACATTGAGAGCTGCGGGAGCAGGGCGGTGCAGTCGTCGCACGCTAACCCTCGCCACCACCGGCAGAAGCTGGAGGTGTACAATGAGGTGCTGCGGCGGATTCAGGACTCCGATTGCGAGGAGGCGCACGTTCCCGGCTTCGACGATCAGCTTTGGCTTCACTTCAATCGTCTTCCCGCTAGGTCTTTCACCACGCTTCCAAATTGACTGACTAGTTAATTAATTGACCTGGCTGCTTGCGTTTTGCCTTTCAGATTTGGTTCTTTATTTTTCGGAAAGTGCTGAAAATGATTCACAGGGAATTTCTGTCTATTGTCTTGTGTTTTTGTATATTCCTGCTTGTTTTTGCAATTCGACTGTTTTCCGTGTTATTTTGAACTCGAATTGAGAAGAAGTTGAAGGAGGAGGAAAATAGTTTTTTTGCCTTTTTTTTTTTTTTTTTTTACTTTACCTTTGTAAGTGGATTTGCCAGAGTGGTTTTTGTACGACTCTCCTGGTCGGTCACAAGAAATTGCTCAAGTTGGCGGAGGACCCTGCTACACGGTTATTTGTTGAAGTTCTTTAGTTTGTATTTTTACTAGTTTTTACGCGGTTAATTTTTAATTAATAATCCAAATATAGAAAAGTAACTTCCTCAACTTAAGATTCCTGGCAAAGTAAAATCATTAAGTGGTGTTGCGTCTAATCCTCAAACTTCAATAGCTTGGTTTGAATTTTGGATTTGTAAGAATAATTAATTTTCAAAAATTATGTACACAGAAATAAGGAATCGCTTTTATATATAGATATGGAATAGATAAAGGTTGTTGAAAATGCATGGAAATGTTTTTTCCTTGATTGCACTATCAATAACTGCTAGCTGTTATTGACATAAAATTTGGAACTACGGAATCAGCAACTTTATAGAAAATGACACATACGGATTAATTCATTATACTTTCATCCTTAATGCAGGTATATCCTTTTGGTGGTGCAAATTATGTTGATTCCATGCATTCAGATCCTTCTGAGAAAGAAGATGCACAAAGTTCTCTTAACTATTCTTTAAAACAGGGGTAGGCTCTTGTATTTTTGTATCAGTTTTATTTCTATCCTTTCGGTAGTTCAATAAGAATGATCGTTTGTATTATCTAAGCTCTTGTTATTATGCTGTCATTCATGCCACTTATTTATTTTTTAATCTTATTCCTTTGCCTCTCTCTTTGGCAAAACAGGATTCATCCTCCACCTACATTTGGTTCATCCTCTAATCTTGAAGCTCTTGCACTTCAAACAACTAAAAATAGCATTGAAGATGGGGAAGTGCTATGAGTGTGACACCATATTTTCACCGGTAATAAATTCATTATTTTGGAATGTTATTCTTCATGTAAAGATATTATGAATGGGCTTGCTCTCTTCAACTTCAATTAGTATTGCTAAAATGTGTCTTATATAGAAACATGTATTTTATGATTAGGTTGGTATATATAGACTAGGATAAAATCTCACACTTTGAAGATAGTATTTTCCAAGTGCAAGTTTATTGATTTTTTATTTTTTGTTCTAGTTTTAGAAAGTGAGGTTGGAGAATATTTAATTTTGGTATTAGGCATTTTCATCTTTTCAGGATTATGTAGTCATCATGGAAGTATGATGTATAGAAAAAACAAATTGAAGAATCAGTCAATAGGGGCGTGTGTGTCATGTGTATTGACAAGGTTTTCAGATTGTAAAGACCCTCCATATTGAATTTCTCTAGGGGTATCATGCCTTATTGTTTCCATTAGCTTATAGCAGTTACTAAATATATTAATGTTTAAAATTCTAACTAGTGCTAATCTTTTTGCTTACTATATTTTAGGCCCATGCACGAGATTACCTTTTCAACAATTGACAAGCCTAAACTCCTTAGTCAGGTGGTTAATTCTTACTTGATTTTAAATTTTTTTAATTCTTTTGTAAATGGTGCTTTTGAATTATTAAGTGATATTATTGTATTTAATCATCATTATATTTTCTTTTCTGTAGTATTATTCAACTTCCAACATGATAATAAACAATATGCCTTGCTTTTCTGTGTCATCAATTAGGTCAGAGCACTTCTTGCAATGCAGGAAGTAATTCTGGATTGTAGTATCTTTTATATCAACTATGAGCAAATTTCTTGCCAGTTGATGTGGTTGCTGTCAAACTAAAATTATATATTGAGTTTTTTTTTTTGTGAAGTACTAAAAGTTGTAATTTTGCCAAGTATTTTTTTTTCCACGCAGATTAGATTGGGAATTTATGAAGGTACAAATGTATAAGAAACAACAAAATTATGCACAAATGATTATCGTAATCTTTTCAGTTGTCACCTCTAAACATTTTCTGTAATCATAACTTTTTTGATATGGTTGCACTCTTGTCTATATAATTTATTGTATAATATGAAATGCTAAAGAAGAGTGTTTTACTTTAACTGTTTTTTCTTGGGAGTGAGAGTGTTGATGATTACTTTGGCTTATTTCAATTGCTCTTTTATACTTTGAAAAAAGGGAAATTTCATTTACGTTGAAAGCTATAATTATTTGCAAAATCTGTGGCTAACTCAAATGGATATTCATTGCACAAGGATAAAATTCTTTGGTGTTCTTAAGCGAGTTTAATTTTGATGCATTATCAATGTAAAAATGTTTTTCACTGTCTAATGATGAGTTATCACATCACTAGATGAATTTGATAATGTTAAAGACTTACATGAGGTGTCAAATTCGTTACATGATATGACTATGTAAAACTTTTTACATTATCAATGGCTTAAAATAAAATACTTCAATTATAAGATAGAACAATTGTACTTTACATTATGGGCTGTATGTCACCCATTACTATGCATTGCAGTTAACTTCAATACTTGGTGAGATGGGACTGAATATTCAAGAAGCTCATGCATTTTCCACCACGGATGGATTTTCTCTGGATGTCTTTGTCGTTGAGGGATGGCCTAATGAGGTAGGAAGAACGTAGCTAAGCAATGGCCTCATAAAATCACTAGCAAGTGTTTTGGGAAACAGAGGGACTTTATGTATACCTTGACCAACTTTTTGCTATGAGTATGGTTTGCAATTTTGAATTTGTAAAAGATATATAATACCTTTAACTTCTCATCTTTTCATGGCGTGTTTACCTTTTCATTTCAGTAGATAATATGTGATTACTAGTGTTGTCTCTGGGGCATTTCTGACAATCATGTTGTATGGATATGAATAGATAAATATGACGATTATGACAAATTTTGAACATACTGGGGTTTGTTATGAACTAGTATGCTTAATTAATTGTTGCTTTCTAAAACTGATATTAACAAAACAGAATTGTTGCAATACAACACATCTTCAGCCAACAAAATTTAAAACATTCCAATTTAAGCCAAGATGAAGTATAGACAATAATTCCAAATCATAGCCAACAAAGAGATTTACAGTTATTTTATAAAAAAGAGCAAATATAAAGAGAGAGAGAGAGGACTGATCATGATGCAAGGGATGGTGCTAGCTGATGCCCTGCCCAATACTAGCCAAAGCACAACTGTTGCTGCTGGATGTAGGGGCCAAATTACCAACATCTGATCTCTTGCAAGGTACCTGTTATGTAGCACTAAGGAAGAGGGCTTGGTTACATCATTATCCAATAAAAAGAGGCCTGTTCAATTAAAAGTAAGATTGTTGCTGCCATTGATTTTTTTGGATCTACCAGTGCATTTTTGGCACATTTCAAAGCCATGTCTCAAATGTTTCAGATAAAATTAACGTAGAAAAAGGATCACTATAATTGTATCTTCCATATTTATAGGATCTTTCTTTTGTTAATGTCTGTGTATGCTTCATATGCATTAGCTGGTAAAAATAATTCTTCGTAACCGTGTCTCTTATCGCAGTCAATATTTGAGACTTCCTGTTTCAAGTTTTAATTGAATTCCTTTCCAAACTAACTTAGGAGTATTCTTTACAAGCTTCCTTAATGATCATGCAGTTGATTTCCACAACATAATGAAATTGTTATAGCAATAAAATATTAGAGGAAGGTTTGAGGAATCTTTTTGAGCAACACACGGGTTTGGGTTTTTTCTGAAAAAAAAAAGCCCAACTAAAGGTAGCCCAAAAGAGTTCCGATCCCAATTTCAAACGCTGAACAACACTAGTGCCACGCCGGTCACAAACACGACGACGCAACGCACACGAAACACAGTAATAGTTCTTTGAGCTTAATTTTTCTTTGAAATTATTCAAACCACTGAATGAATTAGTGAATATTTTGTAGATTAGCATAATCATTGCTTAACAATCAGTAATCCATTCAGTTGTATGTTGCTGAAAATTTAACAATAAAACTTGGAAATTGTGATAATTGTAGGGAATGGGAGTGATAAAGGTTGGAACAATCTCAGGGGTTATACTCAACCATAAATTTACTCAGACTTAATCCCTTAGAGAAAGAGCCTAGGTGAAAATATTGAATATCAATCCCTTGAGTACCCAATACCTACACCCGCATTACCGATTAGGGTTTTAAGACTACTAATGGGTCATGCCCTATCCCTAGGTACAATCTCCACTAGGCATATGTTCAGAACTAGTTTCAATAATATTTCCCAATAGTCATTAAAACCTTAAATCATGCAAAGGGTGATCAAGCCAAAGCAAACATTAGGTATAGAAACATACACAACAAAGAGTGAAACAACACACATATATATCATTAAACACAAAGGATTACAAAAGATTTTGTTGGTTACATCAAAACCCCAATACAAAGGATAGAACCACTCAAAACAATGAGGGGAAAACTAAAATAGAGATGGAAGAGGAAGTGAATAACCGAAGGAATGATCCACCATGGCCGTTCCCAAGCTCTGGGAATTCCTTCCGGGTGACTTGTGAAGTCCCACATCGGCTAGTAAGGTGAACGAAGCATGCCATATATATGGGTGTGGATACCTTACTCTAGAGGACGCGTTTAGGGATGCCATGAGGGCATTGCCTAGAACAAAACCCATTGTGGGACAATATCTGGCCATGTGGGGTCGCTGCGCTACTCTGATGGGGTTGGCAGGACTTGCCTTGGAGGACGCGTTTTGGGGTGGTGTTGGCCATTCCCGAGAACAAATCCGTGAGGCCGTGGGCCAAAGCGGACAATATCCTCATGCGGGTTGCTTGGGCTGTTACATGACTAATATTGTGCTGGGCGCAATTGATATTGCGCCCGGCGTGCTGGTTCCAGAGACCATAATTCGAGTGTCGCGTCGGGCGCGAGGTGAAGTGCGCCCGGCGCATAACCATTGATGTGGTCAGTTTTGCCTAAATTTTTCCTTGAAAGAAGGCCTTATAACCACCCAGAACCAGAGTTACCTTATTTCTCACACTCCAAACAAAATATACCCTATATTTACTCATTCAAACCCGATTCAAACACTTAACAATTAACACAAACACACATAACATAAACAACATATAAACAAAACAAGTCACAAATAGCTATAAATACTAAATTGTCATTCTAATCCCCGGCAACGGCGCCAAAAACTTGCTGAGAATTCCGTTGAAGTACACATCAACGGACTCAGACACGGCAAGTGTACCGGTCGTACAAGTAGTAAAAATATCGTATCCATAGGGATTAGAAGGTAAAATAAGCATTCATTGGCTACTTGTGACTTGAGAACAATTCCAATTTATATGAATATGAATTAAAGAACAAAACTACTGGAATTGTTAAAAACACACATAATTGAATTAGAATGGAAATGGGGTAAGAAATGGCAAAATGGAAACTTGAGGTTGTGGGGATTATACTTCACCAAACAACATACTTCTGAATCCTAGAGCTCTTGTTACATTCATTGCTCAGTCAACCATAAATTTACTCAGACTTAATCCCTTAGAGAAAGAGCCTAGGTGAAAATATTGAATATCAATCCCTTGAGTACCCAATACCTACACCCGCATTACCGATTAGGATTTTAAGACTACTAATGGGTCATGCCCTATCCCTAGGTACAATCTCCACTAGGCATATGTTCAGAACTAGTTTCAATAATATTTCCCAATAGTCATTAAAACCTTAAATCATGCAAAGGGTGATCAAGCCAAAGCAAACATTAGGTATAGAAACATACACAACAAAGAGTGAAACAACACACATATATATCATTAAATGATTAGTCTTACCAATTTGTTGATTGTACAATTTCCTATAGCCAGAGGTGAACAATATATCCTCCAAAACGAAATATATCATTGAACAAGAAAAAAAAAGAAGTAAAAAATAGCAAAATTTAGGGGGAAAAGAGACTGCTTTAAACATGTGGGCATTACCCCAATCAAGCTCAGTAAAGGATTACATTACATACATCACCCATTACTTCAAAATAATCCTTGTTTTCTTTTTTCTTGAACATGGACCAACAGAAACTGCTCCCAAGTAGGACCCATCATATGCTCTCCAGGAATCCTGAAAACATTGTTTTTAATTATCCAAGAAAAACACCTTAGGATCCAATTGCAAAGTATTGGATTCTAGTGTGGGTTTATAAGGACTTGAGCTCTCCAACTACAATGACTTGCTTTGGTGTTGTGATTTTCCCAAGGTTTTTATCAATTAGTATCAAAGCTTTCTGCTATGTCTCAGCTGCAAATAAGTGGTGATGTTGGCATTGTAGTGTTACCTAGGACAAGTCAAAGAGCTATTTCATAGCCAGCCTCTGTAGGTGCTAGGGCTGTGGAGTGTGTGGCGAAATGGTATGATCAAATTGCAGGGTATGTAACTTGAATCTCCCATGGGAAGTATGGAATTCTAGTGTGAGGTTTATAAGATTTTGGGGTCTCCAACTATAACAACCTACTTTTGTGATGTGGTCCTCCCAAGGTTTATATAACACAAAGAAGTATTAACTTACGAATATTCACATGCGATTTGTATATTGCCAGTCCTGTTAAGATCAACTATTCTTACAAAAGACTTGAGCTAGCAAATGGGTTAATGAAATAGAGACCTTTGATTTTTTGGACTAGCAAGAATGCATTAGAACCTAATAGAAGAATTTACGAGAAAATAAACTTGAAGAATCTGATCCCAAACCCTGCTATCTAAATTAGTGGAGGAATTAATATGATCTAGTAAAGCCGAAATGACTTGTAATTGACTGGCTTATTTATCAATCGAGTATCTATGAATTATGAAAGTAAAATTCCAAATATAGGATTTTGACCAGAAGGAACATATAACAGAACATCCCAAATTTCCTTAAAAAAATACAATAAAAATTCCTCATTCTATTTTTAGTAAATCATTGTTACTTAAATCAAATGGCAGTTTATTTGTCAAAGGTGATAAGGTTAATTTGACATTTGTTTTCAGTCAGAGATGGGAAAGATCACATTCTGAAAACATGTAGCTACTAGGTGACATATACCTGAATAACGATTAAAATGAATTCTACATATTGTTTTTGTTTGAATGTCATTGTCAGCAGTCACGTGTGATATTTTTAACAAAAAAAAATTCTCCTGTGATGTTGTGTGCAGAAGGGCATGGAGCCAGTTCTTGCAATTGGCTTTGACATTAAAGATATCCTTTTCTCAATCAGTAGAACCATCATATTTCAAACTTGTTGAAGTTGAAAGTTCTATGTGGTTTTGACATGCATATTTTTATTGTTTTTGCTCCAGTGATTTTTGTTTTGCTGAAATTTACTCTCATTGTTCATGAGTGCGTAATTAAACATATAGAGTGAGTTGTTAATATATTTATAGCTTTGCCATTGATTAACTGATTTAATTTCAAAATTTTTTAAATTTCTCAAATATATATATTTTTCCTTCCAGTGTATAACAAAAATTGCTTATTGAGTGATTTCACAAATTTATATGTTCTGAATAAGAAAATCAAGTTGTAACTGACGTCATTTGTACATTCCAAGCAGATTTTCCTACAAAAGCTAAACATAAACCATTAGTTTTTAAAATGCAAGTTATTCTTGAGGATCAGTTAACCACCTCCCAGAAGTGGGAAAATTTGTAGCTTTTGCCAGTGATAAACCAGCATATAATAGGACTTGTTATGTTGTAGTATCTTGTAAATAAATAATACTAGTATATAGTAAATAGTTGCATTCCTTCCTTAATTTTCATGCCAATAAAGAAGACATTTATTTCTCTGAAGTTGTGCTGTTAGGTAATGTTCTTTATGTCACTTCTTAAACAGGATAGAAAGAGATGGAATAAAACTGAAAGTTATCTTCTTTACTTCTAAGTTGTAATCCATTTTTTTTTACTGAAGTTGTTTACATTTAAACCATTACTTGATAATTTGAGTTAGTACTATCTTTTAGTATCAGTACCTCTTCATTGTATTTTTCCATTGAGACTTATTAACTTTTCTTTTTCTATAAACTTTATCAGAGGGTTTTTTTTTGTGTTGATATTTCTTTAACCCTTTTTTTTATAACATTATTTTGATCAAAGGTTTTTCTACGAAAAAATCTTAAGATTTATTGCCAAAAAATTGCACTTTTGTAGTTCTGGTTTTTCTTAGCTATCATACAGATTCCTAAGAAAGTGAATTGGGAAGAATACATTCCACATGACTCAGATCAGTGGGAGTCACAGATGGTTGTATCTAGAATGTTTGATGATAGGCCTATATGGCCCAAAGATTCACTTACTGAACGCTTGATTGATAAGGGCTTAAGCTTTTCTCATGGCATGCTCAGAAGGTGAAAGGAGCAAATTCTTCTTATTAGCTCTTTTAACTTGCAATAATTGAGTTGCTAAACCATGATATTCATGCAGTGACCTTCCATTCTCTCTTGCAGGCTTCTATCTAGAATTTCTTACTACTTTTCTAGTGGTCCATTTCTAAGGTTTTGGATTAAGAAAGGATATGATCCACGCAAAGACCCTGGTTCTCGCAGGTAAGACTTACTCCTAATTTCTAAATGATATCTTGGATTCTGGTTATACATTTGCACTCAGAAAAGTATTTGATTCCTGTGATAAATATATTTCTGATGTATTGTTTAGTTTGTATATATTATTAAACTACCAGCATTCCAGCGTGTCATGTTATTCTATTTTACCTTTCAATCAGGTAACAAGAAAGAGCTAGATTTAGGATGGGGATCATGATCACTCTGTAAGCCTGTATTGTCTGCTGAAATTTCAGACTGGTTTATAGGATGGGGAATCAATTTATGGAACATTAATTTTGATAATAATATAGCTGGCATAAATGAGTTTCTCCGGACCTTGGCTTGAAAGAAAGAACTGATTATTCTCCCTGGTGGTCCATGCTTTTATGCAATTTTCATGACTATTTCAGACATTTAATTTTTTCTCTAAGTAGCTTGAATTCATTGGTTCTTTACATCCTAAACTCGTGTCATTAGAAGAATGGGGCTCTTTAAATATTATTTTTATTGTTTTGCTTGTTAGGATGACAATGCATCCCTGGCTGTTAATGAATGTTGTTGTTAGTACTTGTTGATTATGGTTCCATGTGTCTATTTGGCATTTTCTATGAACTAAAGTTTGTGGACAACAGACAATACTGTAAATATTCATTTTATATCCTGTTTTGTTTGTGCTTCTTTTTAAAGTTCCTTTTTGTGCTCCACATCTTATTGTTAATGTGGTTTTCCCTTTTGGTTCATATTTTACCTATCCCCAATAAGGCTCCTATGGTATTTGCATATAAACATATTACATCTTCACTTGCCTGTAAATACAAAATTAAGATGAAGAATTAATACATTTTTACCAGTGTTTTGACAATGCAAAATCTTCATTCTATCAATTATTTTACTGAATTTTTATTTGTTATATTTCTATTTTTGAACAAGAATGAGTCTCCATTCTGTTGACTACGTTTATATTTTTGGTTTAGCAGTTATCAAAGAATTGATTATCGAGTACCTGTCCCATTACAAAGTTACTGTGATGCTCATTCTGCCAATAAGTATGTCTTCTTCTTCATTCTATCTCTTGTTGTTTACAAAGCTGTTCACTATAATTTGGAAGCAATTCCTTACGCGTGAATGCACAAGAAAGAGGAAATAGAAAATAGCAATGTAGATTAATACATATAAGCAAACACAAGTGAAGACCAAGAACTAATTACAATCTCAATTAAATATATTTGCAGACCTTGGATTGATACAACATATATGGTTATTGTCACTATATATGCTTATTATCTTTCCATTGGAATTGTTTTCTCATTTTTTATTGTTTCATGCAGATCTAAACATAGATGGGAGGATATATGTGCCTTTCGTGCTTTCCCTTACAAGTTCCAGACTTCTTTACAATTATTCGAGCTTGTCGATGATTATATTCAAGCAGAAATAAACAAGCCTCCATCGCAATCAACTTGCACTGTAATTTTTTTATATGATTTTTTTTCAATATCTCAATTTTTATGTTGACATGATATTGTCCAAACATTTGAAAGACCAGCATGCTTTACTCTGCTTTTGACATGTTTCATATTTTTCTAATTCCCTGGCATGAATTTAGAGCCTTATGTTGATGATGAGTTATTCATTTTTCCTTTTTGCTCAAACCAATGAAGTGGCAGATTTATTCTATACAATCTTGTTATATTCTGAAATTTTGTTGCAGTAATTCAGGCCAAAATAGATTAGATATCAGAAAAAGTGCTTGATTTTGTCTTTCATGATTGAGGTTACTGTAAGTTGCATCTAAAATGTTTATTTTGTAGTTTGCAAATGGGTGGTTCTCACAACACATGATCAATTGTATTAGACAACGTCTTATGGTGAGATTCCTATCTGTATTTCCCAAGCCTGGCGCAGAGAATTTACTCAGAGCTGCCACTTCAAGGTTTGAAAAATTAAAGAGGGAGTGCCTTAGGAATGTCATGAAGCTTGATGGAGTAGAATGCCAGCAACCTAATTTAGGTTATGCTTCTATTTCTCAAAAAGTCCCTTCATGATATTTATTTTGAGTCATATATATAATTGAAACTTGAAAGGGAGAATTCTATTTAGGTTCATCCGACTCTTTGAGCCAAAGTTTTCTAATTTTCTTCCTCAAAAGGTTATTCGTAGCAGAATTTAGTAATTTAGTTTGGACAAATTTTATTTAATTAATTTGTTATTTGTTGTGAGCCAATGGAAAGTTTATTTATTTATTTGTTGTAAAACTATAATTTAATATATTTCCGAGTAAAAAATTAGTATCTTCTGATCTGTTAAATGATCTTTTAATTGTGATTATTGATAAAACATTTGCATCTAGAACAAAGGTTTGGAAGAGAATGAAGAACTTGACAATGTTGAAGACGAAGAGGAGGCAGTCGAGGGTAATGATAGTGAAGAAGAATGGGAAGAAGAAATTGATTTGGTAATTCTTGTCTATGTTTACTGCTTTTATGTTTTTCATTTTTATATTGTGTTAATAATGACTTTCTGATCCAATATTTTTTGATGTGTTGTTGACACATGTAGGTTGGAGATAATGAAATGCCTCTGCCGTCTAATTCATGTATCCTTTTCTATTTCTACTCCAAATTTAGTCATGTACACTTATGTTTATAAAGATTGAAACATCATTATTGCATTGCTCAAATTTTGCATGTTGAAGTTAACGTTTCACATTGTTAAGCTATTATATTAGACAAAATATTGAACCTGCTGGCACTTTTGAATTTCTTTATAATATACAGACATCAACATGGAGAATATTTCAAGGACTCATTTACAGGAACTTTTTGGTAGCTTCCATCCTAATGCAATTGATGGTGAGCAAGTACTTGCAAATGGCAGCGACGAAGAATATCATATATACGAGGAAGATAGTGAGGAGAATTACTCTGATGAATAATTTGTGTCATTCAGAGTCATCAAATACACATATAGGAATATCAATGTTTTTTTAAGTTACATAGGAGGGTAAATATCATCTTAGGTTTGTTGATTAAATATCATCATGGATCCTAGAATTCACATTGTTATTACAAGAAGTATCTCTAATTACATTTGTAAAAACAGAGAAAAATATATTGGTAGATGGAAAGTAGTTTTTCATTTAATTATCTATTTTTGTTGATAACTATTAAACAGTGGTGGAAATAGAATTGGTGAATAATGAGATTGAATGATGAACACTAAAAAGTGGATATAGATTACGATTAGTATTCTGCTGAAAACATTTTTGTGATGATACTTGTGACAATGAAAAATAAACTCGAGTGAAATCACCCTAATTATGAAATAGAAATATGTCTATTAAATTCCTCAAAGTTACACGTATGACATATATTGACTTTCTCGCCACTAAGAGAATCCAAATCCTTGGAGGATGGATTCTGGCCAAGTAATGATAAGCCCCTGTGGCAGTATTTATTAATAAAAAAATTTATTTTATAAATTTTAATGAATATTAATAACTGAATTGAGCTATATGTATATCTACATATATATATATGGGAAGAATATTTTTAAATAAGTTAGTGAATAAAACATTTAATTAAAAGGCATTTTCAGTTTTTTTAGAGTTTAAATTATGTTTTTTTTTCTTTTATTTTAAAAATAATACTCCAGCCTTTTGGAGATAAATACGTGCTTAATTTACTTCATTTAAAAGTAAATAAAACTTCAAAACTCATTTTTTTTTATGACTGACAACATTATTTAATTTCACGGAAATCATTTTCGTGAAAGGTATTTTTGTCAAAAAAAAAATGCAGCAGTACAAAGAGAATAAAATGGGTTAATAGAATTGCTGAAGAATCAATTCAACCATTAGCAGCCTGTTGAATGTAGACAAAAAAATAAAAAAATAAAAACATTATTAGCAGCCATACTCAATATTATATTAGTCGAATGGATAAATCAAATCTAAATTCATTCTACTACAATCCGTCAATCCCACTTGAATGGGTCTTATCCAAATAACCATAAAAAAAGAAAGTCCTCATCGACTAGAACCTAGTAGAGACTTTTAATTTTTTTTTTATTTATAAATAGTTGCAGTGATTTTTTTTAATCATGTTATCAGTATGTAATATTTTGTTTAGTTGAAGATTAATTTTTATTGGAAAACTTGTCTGGTTACCTTTAATACACAAAATTAATTTATATATTATTATAATAAAAAAATAATAGGGTATTCACTATTCAGTTACTTCTTTCTTCGGTTTATGATAAATATGATATATCATTATATATGGTTATTACGATGATATTTATCGTTTTGGAATTATAGGCTTACAGCAAGCAAGCAGGGATTTGAGTGAAAAATTCTATCACTGAGGATTTTTATTTTCTTTTTCTCTTTTTCCCCCACCAGTGATTAAATGTAAGCAATAGATATTCCATTACCACACTCCTTATTCATTAAATGCACAGTTTCTTTCCCAACTTCACTATTTAATTATTATAATAATATTGTAGTCACTCTCTTCCTAGTTGGTAGTTGAAGAAACAGTTTGCAGTTAACTGATGAGATATGATATAGCTACAGTTTTGTCACATTCTGCTCTCTTACTTTTTTGCACTTATTTCACACGTTGCTAAAACCATTATAGTTTTCTATATTCGTGTGGTTAAGTAACTAGTAGCGTTACATTCATCTGATCTTAAAGTTTACTTCTTGTGTTTTAATAATTTTGTGTGTATAATGAGAAAACAATAATCATTCTGAACCAAAAACGATATTAACTTATTTATTTGTATGCAAGTCTCCTTAACTTATCATTATTTATCCAGTTAAAAATAGATTGAATGATTAGCGTATGGAGCTGTGCACAATTATAAGTACATTAATAATTATGTAGTGATGGGACCAAGATGGGGTTGTGATATAGAAGATCTGAATCACACTCATGAAAGTAACTAGAAAATGAAGTTCCCGGGCTTTGGGGGAAAGGAAGAGGATGAGTATGACAAGGACGGCTTTATTACAATGGATATGCAGTTTAGCTTGAAAGCTCCTAATTCTTGCAAACACTTAAGACAGCAGAAAAGCAGATACTGTGTTGGTGGCTTCTCAATTAAGTTATTTGTACAAATTAAGAACTTGAGCTTTAGATTCACAATGGATAAAATTTCCCAAAAAATATTCATAGAAACATAAAATAAATCAAATATCTTTCATAAGTTAACAGAAATTAAAATAAACTTTTGGGGAAATTAAATGAGTTCTTTTTAACATAAAAGTAGATATTATGGATGATAGTCCTATTGTGTTGATTAATTATTGATTTGTATTCTTAACTTTTCTTTTTACCAAGGTATTTGAATCTATGATCTTATGCAGATTATCCAATTTTTTCACCACTATACCCAATTCTAGTAACTTGTTTCAATAATTTCAATCTATCATTTCAATATTAATTTCCATTAACTCTAACCTGATACGCTGTTTAGTTTATATATTCCATTTAATTCTGCAAGAAAAGTAAATACCAGTAGCTACACTGTTCCTGTTTCATGAATTGCAAGCAAATTTAATATGCTGAAGAAAAAGGAAAGAAAAAAAAATTCAATGAACGAAACCAAGTCACAAGAAGAATATCCAGTGTATTGCTAAAACAGAAAAGAAAACAGAAAACTATATTTAATGTACAATTACATCAGTGACAACTTTCTTAAATATAATTACTAATAGAAAATGTCAATAAGGTTAATTTGTTTGTATAGATCCTCAGACATTGTGACATGCCTATCATATTCTTCCTGAGGGAGAAACTATATTTAGAAAAGACACTCGAGTATTAATAAGGTGCTTAAACAAGCAATCCAATCCATTTTCAAGCTCTTCAGTGACTACCACCACATCAGCCTCAAGCTCTTTATAATATTCTCAGCCTCAAACTCCTTGGTTGTGTTATCCATCACCATTCTACAAAGTGCTAGGTCCATCTTTTCAATTTCATTTACATTCTCTTCATGATTGTTGTATTGAAGTAGCACCCCTTTCTTCATCACTCTTGACACAAACGTCCACTTATTACTAACCTTTGACCTTAAGATCGGTGAAGAGAGAAACCCCACCAGTGACTGAAAAATGGAGCTGGTGATCAAACTAGCTTCTCTTAGAACCCTCACAACTGAAGAGAGATGGAGGTTAAGATCCAAAGGAGGAGAGGCCCCAAATGATGATGGCCCTTCAGTGTGCTTCAACAACACCAAAGATTTTGTGCATTGTTTCCTTGTGATTCTTCTTAGACTCAAATATGAAGACACGTGGCTTTCAATCACCAAGTCTCCAACCTTTCTCCTTCTGAGTGCTGATTGAAGGTCTCTAACACTTCCTTTCATTACCATGAATGCATCCCTTGTTTCGCCCAGAATGTCCAAGAATCTTACAGGGAAATCTAGCAACTCATCAAGCCATTTGTGGTTGTGGTGATGAGATAATGCTTGTTGAGTGAGTGGCAGTTTCAAAAGATCTTCCATGCATTTGTATAACTCTGCAAGACTTGAAAGACCAAAGAGAATTCTCTCCACCTCAGAAGAAGAAAATGCTTCCCATGTTTTGAGCTTGTTCAGCTCCTCCTCTATTGGAACTGTGCTTGGATGTGATCTTGTTGGCAAGCTTATGGAGCGAAAAGTAGAAGAAGCCATAGCTGCCTTTTTCATATCTCAGTAAAAAGGTTGGCGTGAGTGACTAGTGACTCTTGTTGTGGTTGAGGTTCAAACTCGTGTATGTAGAAAGTTTGAACTAAGGAAAAATTCACCTGTGTCTGCAAAACGTCTAGGAGAAATTAGTACCTGTGTTTTTTACGAGGATACTCTTTAGTAATGAAAAAATATATATATATATATATATATATATGAAGGGTGCTAATATTATATGCGAATGATGAGTGTTGTGTTGTTTAGTAATACCAAGGCATGTATGTATGTGTGTGTGGTTTTCCGATATTGTGGGTTTGTGATTATATATATATTGTGGTTTATGGATGTTGTTGTGAGGTCATGTCATGTGTTAAATGGAAACCCTATCTGCTATGTTACATAGGGACTAGGTAGTAAGGTGGACCTCCCAAATTGGCTCTGCTGTCTTTTTGATCTCACCGTCCCTCATGTTGCGTCACTCAACTTCCATACAAAATCATGCACAACATGGCCCATGCAGGGGCTCTACACAGTAGTGGCATGTACGTAGCAGCCTCTAGTTAGGGAGAAATTATTAAATAATATGAGATTATACATGTTATAGTTGCATCAATCTTTATATCATATATGAACCAAGGTATTGGCTTAATCGCAAAAAATTAGAGTAATATAAACAGTCTTGAGTTCGTTACGTACAATTCCAACTTTGATCACTTCTTATCTTTTGTATTTGGTACCGCTTCTTTGATTGGCAACAACAATGTCACTAAAATAAGTATATCGTCAATTACTTTCTCTTAGGATTTGAATACACTTTTCGCTTGCTTTGTTGTTATCAACTACATTCAATAAATTTGTGATTTAATCATATCATTTATTTTGTTCTTTTAGTCAAAAGATTGAAGTAAAAATATTTTGTGTTGAAAAAAAAGAAATTTACATTTTCATTTTTGTTTGTTTTCATCCCTATTATATATATATATATATATAAGTTTGTATAATATAATTATTTATATGATATCACGTGGAAATTGGTCAAAAACGCACATGATCCTATACCATATAACAATTATTTCATATTAAGTGAAAATAAGCTAGAAACATATATAATATTCCCTATGTAATTTTTTTCTTCGTGAGAATTCTATTAGAAATGAGGATTTTTAATTATATAGGCTAATTAAGAGATCATTTAAACGTAGTTTAATAAAGGTACTATAGTTTTATTTGAAACTTATCTTTTAAATACTTAGAACGTAATGATATATTTTTATTAAATATATTTTTTGCAACATATAAGATTTTTTTAACTAATATATGGAAATTAAGAAAGTTAACTAATTTGGTTAATGATAATAAACCTTTTAATAATTTTTATTATTTCTTCAAAATTATTCTTTTTTATTATTATAAAAAATGTATCATTATTGCTTAGATAGCTAGGCACAAGTATCAGTAAAAAAAAAAAAAAACAAAAAA